TTAAAAGAATTGGGTGAAAATGATTTTTTTTTCTAATGCCTATATAAAGAGGGTTCACAAAATTCAGGGTGGATTATCATAAACAAACGTGTTTTGAGCTAAAAAGAGTTCTTAAAAGGGGCAAATGTAATTCATTGGACTGTCTAGTTGGGTAATTATGAGCTGATTGAATTAAAACAAAACTTAAAAAAAAAAAAAAATGAAGGTAACATATTATTATCATATTTATACATAAATCTTTAATTGTATAAACTAGAAATCTGGCTTTACAATCGGAATACTACTAAACAAGCTGGATTTAAATACCAGACAGGTGTATACCGATCGACAGGATTAGGCAAGGTCATGAAGTAAGAGAGAATTAGGACAACAACAACAAAGCTGCCAGGTGGTACAGAATATTGTTTAACTCTTTTCTTGACGATTTCCTTTTAGAGGAAAAATACTTTGCATCCGTGAAAGGCTTTAGCACAAATCCTATGAATCTCACAAATTGATTTTGAAGGCTAACCCAGTCTGCAGACCACATGCTTAATATGTTAAACGCATTTCATTTACGAACAAGGAGGTCAGATGCGATATTCGGGAACCTATTCCGGAAGTGTCCCGGAAACGCAGGTAGACTATTCCGATTGGACGGAACACGTTTTTAGAATATCGTTTGGTATGATCTGCCATTATTGTTCAAATCTAATTGCTGTATGCCCCTGAGGGCGCAAATGAGAATTATAACTCTTGCACGACCCGTAATCAATATTGTATCTTTCATGTAACACTATTAGACTGCTGTTTGCATTTATCTACCATCACAACTTTTGAAATATACCTGTGCTTGAGGGCGCTAATCAAAATAGTTGTTTACTCCGAACTACCTGTACCGGAGGGTGATAAATACTCATGACATGGTTTCTCTACAACATTATCTTTAAATGTAACAATATTGAGATTGTCATTTGCGTTGATTTACACAATAATAGGGACTTTTAGATCTGCACGTCGACATAATTGATTGATTGATTGATTTTTGTATTCAATTCATATAACAATTGTTTGCAAAATAAATAATATAGTTGACAAAGTAAGATCAAAATTATGAAATGAAACAGGAACCTACTGAAAAGCATAGCTTGTTTTTGTAGGTTCCCAAGAATAAATGCAATATGAACATTGTTATCATGAATCATTTTAAAGTGTCTTAATAATCACAGCAAAATATATGAAATATAATAACATATTTTCGTAAACCATTTTAAAGTATCTAAATAATCACCAAAAAAATGCAAAAAGAAAAGAATGACAAAACGGGACACAAAGGACAGAAAAATTACACAAGACATGACAAAACAAGTCATAACAGGACAAGATACGCAAGACAGGATGGACAAGACACACAAAAGGACATGACACTGACAGGACAAAACAAGACAAAAACAAAGCTGCACACAACAGAAGTTAGAAGAAAAGGGAGAGAGGGAGAGAGAGGGAGAGAGATAGAGAGAGAGAGAGAGAGAGAGAGAGAGAGAGAGAGAGAAAGAGTGAAACAGGGGAGATGTGAGAAGTTTAACCTGTAGGAGACATGTATTTTTGTATTAAATTCTTTTTGAACACTGTACTAAAACTACAATATGTGGGTTTATTTCTAACTGGATCTGAAAGAGAGTTTTGGACCTGAAAATACAAATGATTTATTTGAGAGCAAAGTTCTTGTTTTTGGTAGATGAAAAAGCTTGGCAGACCGAGTAGGATAATGATGAATATTGACATTCTTTGAAAATATTGAATACAAAACATTTGATAGTTCATTTCTATTTAAATTATAAATGAATATTCCCAGATCTGTTATCTTTAGGATACTATGTGTGAAAAAGTGCATCCGTGTGCGCTTGAAAATCAGAGTGACCTATATCACGCAGCGCTTTTTTCTGGAGTAATAAAATTGTATTTAAAAGATAGTCAGCACAATTGCCCCAGGCTATAATACCGTAGTTTAAGTGTGGGAGGATCAACGTTGAATACAGGTTTAATAATATACGAATTGGAAAGTAAAATTTGACCTTGTTTATAACGCCAATATTTCTTGAAATAGAGATAAATAAATTGCAAATATATGTCAGAGGATTCACAATTACATTCAAATTCTTTTTTTTTTTTTTTTAGCAATACGTTATTTATTATTATCATGCCCTGAACTTTGTTTATTCTTCAATTCACGTATTATGCCTGCAACTTCTGTTTCATTTGTAGGTGTCATACAAATTGAATTTGGGTTAGGATCATTGAGAAAATCTGTAAAATGTTTAGAAGCGTCGGGAATGACCGACAAATACCGACAAAATATTCTTTGAACGCATTTGCTAGATTTTGTGGATTTTCAATTATTTCTCCATCTAAGTTAATTTTTGAAATTTTAGCGTTACCTTGTAAAACATTCTTAATAACTTTCCAAGTATTCTTTACATCTTTTTTTTTGGTGTATAAGTCAAACTGCTTACAAAAATACTCTTTTGTAGATCTTCTTAGTATACCTGTAAGTATGTTTTGGTAATTATTATACTTTTTTATATTTTTTTCACATGGTTTTCAGTTGCTTTTATATAAAGATTGTTCTTCCTGTTTATGGAGCGCAAAATACCCGGAGTGATCCAAGGGCACCTTGGTATCGTTTTGTAGTTGGATCGTTTCGTTTGTTTTACAGGAAAACAACTATTCATTTTAGATGACAAAAGATTCATGAAAAAATCAAATGCATCATTGACACTGTTTGTACTGTACATTCCGGACCAATCCATATTTCCTAACTCTTCTTTGAAAAGATTCACATTATCTTCAGAAAAATCACGTTGGGTATTTATGCACTGCCATTGCCTTAAAAGGACGTAACACGTAGCAGTCCAGTATGTTGACGTGCAAATCTATAAGTCCCTGTTGTTCAAAGTTTTACTGATAATTTCTACCCCCATGAGGGCGCTAATTTAGAATAATGTAAGATCAGAATGAGCATTTTTTTGTAAAGAACGATTATTTCGCGACAAAAATACCAATCATTAGCTTTAAAAACAAAGGCAACGTGTTAAAAGTGACGAAGCAGTCATTGCCTCAACCTCCTTCGCTCTATTTCTCTCTCTCCTCTTTCTCGATATCCTCTTTCTCCTTCTTTTCCTCTTTATCCCAGTCGTCTTGTCTGGCCTTTCCCCTCTCAAGGTTTTTACATTTTTAGACTTAAATATTATCATCATATTTCTCTCATATTTCGATTATTAATACCATTAATCACTTGAACCTAAATAAATCATATACGACAGATTTTTCTTATTCAGGTTTAATTTGATGTAATTCCAATAACAGCGTATACACTTACAAATCAAAAATACAGAACAGATACAAATCATTATACCTAGAATCAAGGGTACCATAAACGACTAAGGTGGTCTTGTCAAGATATTCCCCTTACGTACACAAAAAGGTTGAAAGTGCTCAAAAGCACGAGAACAGTACAATATATTTAAACATTTAGTTACATGATTATGCAAAACCAAAATACAACAACACACAACACAAACAAAGACAAGAAACCCACAAAAATCTTGAATCTATTTATAAAATTCCAGACACGTCATGCTACCACTATAGCGCCTTCTATATTCTACGGAGTATAAACTTGTGATATGCAATAGATATAAACTACATCTTACAGTACACTAACGAGTGAAAGGGTCAGGCCAAACTAAAAATTCTTAAATATAAAGTATACAAAGATGGATATTGCCCTCCCCAGTTTCATAGACGCAGGTTATGTTACAGTGGAAAACACTATACTCCCCGTATAGAGGAGAGTCACCACCTGTGCACGTTAAAGGTCGGGCGACATCCAAATATAAGCTGATTCTTGTTGAATTGCCGATTGCGTGTTAAAGTTAGTTATATTGATATTTTGAAATCAGAGCTTTTTTGAAGAAAAAAAATTAAAAAAAAGAGAGGTGAACATTGTTATTGAATTAAGCAAGGAGTTCCAGACATTCGGGCCCCATTTCACAAAGCTTGTCATCAGTGACAAACGACAGTTTTTGTGATAAGCTTGAAGATAAGATTGAAATTCTAGTCACTAATTTTTGTCATTTGTCATTGAATAAAAGCTTTATAAAACGAGTCCTTGGTCATTAGTTCGTTACTGACCTTTGGGCTAGAATGATTATATTTAAGGATATTCCAAGTGATAATTTATTAAACGGCGGGTAGGATATGTGTATACGCCAAACTGACTCAAAGCCGACCGATTCTTTGCTTTTCGGGTGTCGGTCTGGTGTCGGTCTTGTATCGGTCTGGTGTCGGTCTGGTGTCGGTCTGCTGTCAGTCTGGTGTCAGTCTGGTGTCAGTCTGGTGTCGATCTGGTGTCAGCCTGGTATCAGCCTGGTGTAGGTCTGGTGTGCGCCTGGTGTCGGTCTGGTGTGCGCCTGGTGTCTGTCTGGTGTCAGTCTGGTGTCAGTCTGGTGTCGGTCTGGTATCAGTCTGGTGTCGGTCTGGTGTCGGTCTGGTGTCGGTCTGGTGTGCGCCTGGTGTCTGTCTGGTGTCAGTCTGGTGTCGGTCTGGTATCAGTGTGGTGTCGGTCGGGTATCAGTCTGGTGTTGGTCTGGTGTCGGTCTGGTGTCGGTCTGGTGTGCGCCTGGTGTCTGTCTGGTGTCAGTCCGGTGTCAGTCTAGTGTCGGTCTTGTATCAGTCTGGTGTCGGTCTGGTGTGCGTCTGGTGTCTGTTTGGTTTCGGTCTGGTATCAGTGTGGTGTCAGTGTGGTGTCGGTCTGGTATCAGTGAGGTGTCGGTCTTGTATCAGTGTGGTGTCGGTCTGGTGTCGGTCTGGTGTCAGTCTGGTGTGCACCTGGTGTCTGTCTGGTGTCGGTCTGGTGTCAGTCTGGTGTGCGTCTGGTGTCTGTCTGGTGTCGGTCTGGTATCAGTCTGGTGTAGGTCTGGTGTCAGTCTGGTGTCGGTCTGGTGTCGGTCTCGTTGGTGTGACTGGGGTTTTACACCCTGCGGATTCATGGTGCTTTGATGTTTTCTTTCTTCTCCCCCTTCTCGATGTCTCCTCCGTTCGTCATCTCTTTGGCATTCAATCTTTCTTTTCTCTCTTCCAATACTTCTTCCTTTCCTCCTCCTTCAGCCACCTCCGTTTTATTCGTTTCCTCTGGTCGGTAGTGTCTGATGGGAAAACAATGATGAAATAATTATTTAATCAAAACATTTTTTTTTTAAGGAAGTACTTTCCCCAAATCGAGCAGGGTACGGTTGCAAACGTCATTTAATGATATAAAAACTTTATTAGTTTGGACCATAGGTAGTGGAGGAGAGAAATTTGAGATATACGCACGCGCTCATAGATTCATTCACGCAAACAGTTCCCTCCCATCATCTCTTTATGGCAGGGAACTCTTTCGATGCTCCACGAATTCGACGTCCGGTGTGGTAACTGTCGTAACTCTACTAGCTAAAGTTTGGACTAAATGCAGCCAGTGATCATAAGAGATAAACCGCCCCTTACGTTGATAAGTAGATAATGTAGCCAATAGCTCTTTCGTGCATAGGCATAGCATTGTAAGAAAATCGTTGTGAATTTCGACGTAAATTTGTTTCGATAGAGGGCATATTAAAGAAGGAGTACCGAGTAGGGGGGGGGGGGGGGAGGGGGGAGGGGGGGGGGGGGAGCACCGATCTAACTTGTTGGATGACATTAAATGTGGTCATTTCTCACTACCGCCGATATATTGAAAATACCCGTATGTTACGTTCAAGCCCCACGAGGATAACAATGTGGGAGGGTGTGGTAGCGTCTTTTTCTCACGTTTCCCTGCCCTCTCTCCTTTTCCCCACCCTTTCTCTATCTCTCCTTTGTATAGCCCTTAGATTACGGAGAAGTGCTACCCAACCCCTCCCTCCCCAGTAGCTACACTCACCTGTAGATTTTGTATAGCCCAACCCACGCACTGAAGCTGATTATGCTGAAGGGTCCAAAGAGCATCGGGTAGATGATGATCTGAAGGAACAACTGGATATCATTCTTGTACGAGAACGCGATGAGAGTGAGAGCGAGGCCGACATGCTGCGCGCCCGTCTCGAAGGCGATGGTCCGACACTGGCGGTGAGGCTGGCGGAAAAGACGTGCGATGACGTATCCCAGTCCCCAGCCGATCCACATGTGAGCTATGCTGGCTACGTAGATCTTCCAAGAAGAGGTCCAGATCTTAGGGTTGATGTAACTGGTGATGAAGATACTCACAATGATACCAAGCATCCCGATAGAACCGAAAGGCTAAAAAGACATAAGTGAAAGTAGAACTTATGCCTCTGTCACACGAGACCAATTTTGTAATTTTGTGAATGAGAGCATACGCTTATACATCTACAATGACTGTTCAGTTTCCATTCTCTTTGTTGGTACTGTTTAAAGCCCATCTGTACTAGTTTACAGAAGGGATTAGACCACCCTGCAAGGTTACTGACAGGTGGTTATCTCATCAAATCAGCTCTCACTTAACATACGAAAAAGAGGATCATGGGGGACCAATGGTCACCGATTAGGCATTTTTTGCTATATAGAGGGCGCAAGTAGCTATAAGTAGTGCAGTGGGGCTTAAAAGATTGTCAAAGCTGACAGCGAAAAGGAATTGAGATAGTTAGAAAGAAAAGTAAGATAAAAGTCTTGTAGATGGAAAGAGAAAGAGAGGGAAAGAGGAAGAACGAGAGAGTGGGAGAGAGAGAGAGAGAGAGAGAAAGGGGGAAGAAAGAGAGAGAGAGAAATAGAGAGAGACAGAGTTAAAGTCTACTAGAGAAACAGCTTACCTTGCCGATCTTGGTGGCCCACTTCTTCGATTTCCATCTTAGCAGCATACCAAGAGCAACGGGTCCGATGATGGTGATCAGAGTGATGATGATGTTCTTGTAAGGGATGACGGTCGCACCACTGACCCATCGTCGGCTGTAGATGTAGAGGTTGAGCGGCATCGATCCCATGGCGACGATGGTCGAGATCGTCGTCATGATCACACTGTACGGGTGGACGTAAGTTGGGATAAGTCAATGGTGATCGTTGATTTGATTGAATTTGATTTAACATGGTTTTGTTTTTTCAGAATGAAAATCACCGCAAGTAAAAAAGTTTTTTGTTATTGTTTACACTGAATGATAAAGAGCACTGCATTGTGAGATTATGCCAAGGAGGGAGAGAGGGAGAAAGAGAGAGAGAGAGAGAGAGAGAGAGAGAGAGGGGGGGGGGACAGGCGGGGAGGGTGTACAGTGCAGAGACGAATTAGATCAGCGAATAGAGAGGAAATGAACACGGAGAAACAAGGTGAGAGTTATAGACAGAAACATGCAAAGAGAGAGAGAGAGAGAGAGAGAGAGAGGGAGGGCGGGAGGGAGAGAGGGAGGAAAAATTGTCAGTGGAACGGAGTAGAGTATATCACTACCATTTACCTCAAGCAAATATCCCCATCTGACCAGAAGGTGTATAGATTGGAGGTAGTACCGCCTGGGCATGAAGCCACAATGAGTGCTCCCAGGGCATATGGTGCTTCAAACTTGAGGACAAGAGCCATTATGAATCCAATCAAAGGCATCAGAACTACCTGACAGATCAATCCAACCAATACACCAATCGGCCGACGAATCTACGATAACCAATCATAGTTTGTACAAAAGATCTTAATATTATAATTTAGCTTGAGAAGTCCACAGGAGTGGAGGAAAGCTTGCATAACAAATTTAAGGTTGGTTGAAGCTTAAAAACTACATGTTATTAGAATGGTGCTTTACGAAACCAACTCTCGACGTTTATTTTGAGATAATCTGATTAACGCGATGGTTCTATGGATAGCGCGTGCTTTTTTCACACAGCACAGTACAATGAGCATAAACAATTACTGCTTTTAAGAATGCGTGCAAGCATGCACAAGGCAGCGAAGCATTGGCTAGCTCGCATGTACAAAGCACTATAACGGTAGCGTGCATGCAGCCTTATGGCAGGCTATGAGTTAAAGCGTTATCCAACAAACGTGCATAGTACATTAATACCCAATATTGGATAATATATTATGTCCACTTTCTTGCTACGACGGTTTTCAATGTTGACTTACCACTATCTTGAAATCTCTCAAGTCAATGGCTGCTCCCATGGCAACCATTGTAAGTCCCAGGGTAACTCCCAGCACACACTGATTGGCAAGCTTCAACTCTTCAATATTCTTGTGACCCCCTCCTCCTGTTCCAACGTCTCCGTCTCCATGGTGATCACAGTCACTTCCGGTCGAGTTTGACCCGGAAATAGTTGCTAGCACTTCCGTTGCTACTTCCATGGCCTTAGACACAATTGCTTCCGTCGTCGTCGTCATCGTCGTTGTCGCTTTCTTTGGTGGATGTGACGGGATACTGTTACACACACTGCCCTTCTCTGGTGTGTTTAAACTCGATCTATTCTAGAAACTAGATTAGAAAAAAGTAGGCCTAGGTCATTACAATTTTAGCGAGATAAGGAGCAATATATTTGACTGTTTTCAGTAGGGAGGGAATGCTGGAACAAAAATTCAAAGCGAACGGTAGAGGAAAACAAATGTTCTTACATGATGTAGATTTCTAAATTTCCTGACAACAACAAAGCAGAGGTCTAAAATATGCCCCCCAAATAAATATTTCTATCGCAAGAGTTTCATTACCCACTATGGAATCTCTAAGAACTTTACTTATTACAATTTAACTTCGAACAATAAATTCGAATTTATTCTTAAAATTACTGGCGCACTATAGTTATATATTGGCTACGAATAAAAACATTATAACTGAGAGGACAATGTAATTTGCATCTTGGAGTGGCAGTAATCATGTTTAATAGATTATGGAGTGTTCATCAAGATATATCCGTACACGTAGGTTTCACTTAACATCATTTAAATGCTGGCACTTCATTTTATTACCGATATTACTTGTTAGTGCGGGTTGGTAAATGTCATATCATTCGACTCAAAATACAAGGATATGCCCAGGATACTGATGGACCTGATGGTATGCTCGTAATTATTACCAAGAAGAATAATTACCAAGATCAAGGGCATATAAAGAGAGATAGAGAGCTAAAGAGAAGAGGGGTTGGGGCGGGTTCGACGACCTCTTTTGAAAAACTATTTTATGACATTTCGTATTAAACTGGTGAATTTGTGATTTTTTTTTTGCTTTTGCCTTGTCTGTTTTCTCATCATGTTGATGCTATTCACGTGCAACTGGCAAAAGGGTATTATTACGAATATCATCATATCATATCATCATTATCACACTTCTTGTTAATACGTCAATGTTATTACAGTGCACTTTTATTATTATTTGTCTTCATTGTGATGATGACGATGACGACGATGATGATGATGATGATGATGATGGTGATTGCGACGATGGTGATGATAATGATGATGAAACTGATGATGGTGATGATGATGATGGTGAGGATGATGGTGATGGAGACGACGACGATGATGATGATGATGGTAATGTTGATGGTGATGATGATGATGATGATGATGGTGATTGCGATGGTGATGACGGTGAGGATGATGATAATGAAACTGATGATGGTGATGATGGTGAGGATGATGATGATGATGATGATGATATGGTAATGGTGAGGGTGATGATGATGATGGTGAGGATGATGATGGTGATTGCGATGGTGATGATGATGATGATGATGAAACTGATGATGGTGATGGTGATGATGGTGATGGAGACGACGACGATGATGATGATGATGGTAATGTTGATGGTGATGGTGATGATGATGATGGTGATTGCGATGGTGATGACGGTGAGGATGATGATAATGAAAATAATGATGGTGATGATGGTGAGGATGATGATGATGATGATGATGATGATGATATGGTAATGGTGAGGGTGATGATGATGATGGTGAGGATGATGATGGTGATTGCGATGGTGATGATGATGATGATGATGATGATGATGAAACTGATGATGGTGATGCTGATGATGCAGAAGGATGATAATGATCATGATGATAATCATGTTGTTGGCTTCTCATGATAATTATAGCGCATATGTCTATCATGCTAACCCAATCCTACCCCAAACAAACAAAACAATATCGATGGTACGTTCAGAAATGAATGATGTAAAAGGTATGGTAAAACGAAAGAAAGACCCTTGTTCTATTTGATAATGGAATTTTTATGCTCGAAGCAACCAGAATAGAATGAAATTCAATGAGTATGTAAATGGTCGAAACCACTAACCGCAACTGAAAATGACATAGAAGGCCTTTTCAACACATCAGAATGAAAACACTTATAGAACTTTTTATTTCATATATAACAAATTTCAATGCACTGGAAAAAGTTTTAAACTCAAATCTCTTTTCTTGTTAGATTGGAGAATCGGTATTACCTACTAATTGTAATATTCAATTGAGTTAATTTTCTGTTTATAAGTGAACATGCCTTCCTATACTTAATTCTCTTCTCAGTTTTTCTTCATTTACTATTTTTTTCTTTCCTATTAACGTTCTGTTATACAATACGTAATTTTCATAATAATATCTATAATGTTCTCTCAGTAACTGTGTTAACTCATTATGGGCGTTCCCAACTAAAGCTATGCTTTTCGGTTTTTCGCCTCCTTCTGTTATCGGAATTATTTACTATATACTCTATGTTGAAATCATTGTTACATATATAATTTATATAAACATTGTGCTTCATATTGTACCGTTGAGAAGTAAATAAATGTTAATAAATACAATTTCAAATATGTTACTAGCACTGAAATTCCTTCCCACCATACCACTTTAATAGTATATTTACTACACCAGGGTTGAGAGTACAAAATATAGATGAACGTCTTGCCAAAATGTATTGTTGATTTATTATCATTGATAGGGACTCTAATTGCCAACCACCCAGTGTCTTATCCACCAAACGAAACCACCTCAAAGAATAAGCATATCTTTTATTGCATATAACAAAATTACATTCGTAAATGATTTCTGTCTACCTTTGTAATAGGAAAGCCCAACATGATAGAAAACGAAGCAACATACCTTTTATTCGGTTTGAAAAGCAATGCAACCTCTTCTGCCAGTTCGCAAGGCCTGGATTAATCTCGAAAACCCTCAGCAATCACGATTCCCGTGTTAATTCTAGTCATTGATAAAAGGGTGTCTGCTGGGTTGTAAATAGTGTCATATTCCATGACTTTGCCAGTGTTGCGGGTGCCGCTGACCGTGAGTAAGAAACCACAACGCGCGCGTTTATGCCCTAGTTTCATCAATGAGATTGACAACACAATATCCGTTCACGAAGTTTGTCAGACCTGGGATATTGAATCATTCAGAATTTTTTTTTAGCCGTAAAACCTAACCTAAACACCAATTGCTATTCTAACCGTAAACATAACCAACGATTCGATTGCTATCCTAACCGTAAACCTAAACAACAAACTGATTGCTCTCCTAATTTCTAACCGTGAGCCTTAGCAAAAATTCGATTACTAATACTGCTAACTTTAAACCTAAACAACAACCCGATTGCTAGCCTAACCGTGAACCTAACCAAACATTCGATTGCTATCCTAACCGTAAACCTAACCTAAAATCCAATTGCTATCCTAACCGTTAACTTAACCTAAAATCCAATTGCTATCCTAACCGTAAACCTAACCAAAAATTCAATTGCTATCCTAACCGTAAACCTAACCTAAAATCCAATTGCTATCTTAACCGTAAACCTAACCGACGATTCGATTGCTATCCTAATTCCTAACCGCGAGCCTTAGCAAAAATTCGATTACTAATACTATTCTAACTTTAAACCTAAACAACAACCCGATTGCTAGCGTTACCGTGAACCTAACCAACATTTGATTGGTATCCTAACCGTAAACCTAACCTTAAATCAAATTGCTATCCTAACCGTTAACTTAAAGGCCAACTGTACTACTTGTAGCTACTTGCGCCCTCTATATAACAAACAATGCCTAATCGGTGACCATTGGTCCCCCATGATCCTCTTTTTCTCATGTTAACTGAGAGCTGAGTTGATGAGATAACCACCTGTCCAGTGACCTTGCAGGGCAGTCTAATCCCTCTTTTAAACTACGGCAGATAAGCTTTAACCTAAAATCCAATTGCTATCCTAACCGTTAACTTTACAACCCGATTACTATCCGAACCTTGAGCCTTACCTAAAACACAGCTGACACCTCAATCCTTACTCTAGTTATTTACTTAAAACCCTTATCCTAAAATTCCTAATCCTGAATCATACTTAAAACCATTATCCTAACCTTAAACCTGTACAGCCTAAATGGCAGCCCTTTCTCTTGCTCTTTCTACTTTTGGCGAAAAAGAGGCTAGAGAAAATGTCGTCGGACCCTGGTTAGAATTTGAATCAGTACCTTTGCAATGTGACGGTCCGTCCCTTATTAGTAATCCGATTTTATGCAATGTTGTTTTTGCTCTGTTTCTCTTCATTTCTGCACCTATTAAAAGTTAATTATTTTTGGAGTGGACTATTAACATTAACGTATTACGTAATCCGAAAAATATTTCTAGAGGATTATGAGGATATACAAAAGTGGATTGAAATTGCCCTTAGAATGATATTTTCTAAAGTGGTTGTGGTCGTGTTATATTATACTGAATTTCCCATTCTTCCCGTCGCTCTGACTCCCATCCCATCCTTGTCTTCCCCTCTGCTTCTCTTTCTGTCTTTGTGTGTCTCTCTCTTTATCCTGTTCCTTCTTTCTTGCTCTACTTCTAATATTCTACATTAATATTTCTCAATGAATTTTCATTCATCCCGACTCTCTGTTTGCCACCCTACCCCTCCCCGCTCTCCCCCTTCCCTCCCCCTCCCCTCCTCTCTCTCTCTCTCTCTCTCTCTCTCTTTCTTCCTTTCCCTTTCTCTTTATTTTTTGAATAAGTCTAATACCTGGATGGGATTACCGAGAAAATATTTTAATGTTTCCCTTGGAAATAATGTGGCTTTTAATATAAAAACCAACAACATCTGAACCGGGCATCTGAATCGGCTGTCCTTTCTAATCAGCGTAGTGTGATTTTACCCCTCCTCTCATATTTAAGTGACTCGGTAACGTTGTTGAAGGTTCATTTAAAAAATGTGTAGTTTTTGTATGAAATTTTAATATTATTTTCCTTCTATAGTACTTACCTACTAACAGGCAAAAAATCCTGAGAAAATTCTCAACCACAAAGATATTTATGGATTTACTTTGAAGGCGTCACTGTGCAAAACCCTCTAACAGTGATTTATAGTAAATTCTCCCAACCATTTTTGAATTTTCCATGAAACTAAGACATGAAACAGGCTCTTAAAAATCTTTCACCACTTAAATGTCTGAAATGGTATATAGAGTCATTTCATTGCTTTGTGATGATTTACATTCACCTAAAATGTAATTAAATTGTAATAATATAGTTGGGAGAATTAACGAAGCGATCAGATCAGTTTCCCCAATTTTTACAACTAATAGTGGTCCGTTTTCACTAAAAATTTCAGATCATCTTTAATTGTACATTTATATATACAATTGAAGTCACTACATTAAGCACCATTTTCTCTCATCTGAACAATGTTACAAAGCCCCTCTAAATGAATCATTGTATTTTTAAAGAATTGTAGAGAGTGAGGGAGGGAGAGATTAGTAAGAAAGAGATGATGGGGAGAGATAGGAGAGGGAGAGAGAGAGAGAGAGAAAGAGAGAGAGAGAGAGAGAGAGAGAGAGAGGAGGGGGGGGGGGAGAGATGAGGGAGGGAAATGAGAGAGAAAGATATGAAAGAGAGAGAGAGAGAAAGAGAGAGAGAAAGAAAGAGAGAGAGAGAGAGGGGGAGAAAGAGATGAGGGAGGAATATGAGAGAGAAAGATATGAGAGAAAGAGAAAGAAAACCAAATTTTGTATTCTTTCATCAATATTCGAATTCAAACACATTTGTTTTTGAAAATCCTTGCTGAAATGTGTCTTAGATTAAATCTTCTTTGGCAAATATGATACAATTTAAGTAAAATATTGCCATCAAATTGTTGGAGCTCCCAAAACTTTAAAGCGGCTCTAATATTATGTAACATGATCAACCTTTTCCTCTCGCTTTCTCAGATTTTCTTTCACAATACAATCGCATGACCAAACCAGACCTTAACTTTTATCTTTAAAATTATTATTTGATAGATGTTGGATGACAGATTTCGATTGCGGGATGGCTGTTTCTCGCTCTCCGATTGATCCAAACTTTATACTGTCCAAGGAAGGTCGACGCTTTTACAAGTGTTGAGAATTTATTTCCTCTACATTATTATTATTTTTTTTAAACAGAACACTGCTCGAGTAGACCACAATTGTTATCTGCAGGGTAATCCGACATTTTCCCCGACGCCAATCATTGTTCCCAGCTTCATTTCGTCAAAGGTATAGGATTAGGGCACTAATAATTACGTAACTAAAATCGTAGAAATCAGTGGATAACGTTAGGGTTGCAACTGGGATTTAGGTCGGGTTTACGATTAGGGAGTAGTGCAATAGTGTTTGGTATAGGGTTGCATTAGTATTCGGTTTAGTTTAGGTTAGTATTGGCCGCGGAGCAATTGTCACACGTGTCGTTCAATTACCTTGCATGTGCACCTTTAAGAAAATGGCAATTTAAAGATTTGGGGGTAACACGAAGGGCACGATTTTGACACATAATGACACTGTACTCGAATACCAGGTCCTGGGTCTGAATTGAAAGCAGTGAGACGGAAATCGATAGTGACACTGCGCTGTGCTGGGAGAAACACGGACTTCCAAGCTTGCGAATGAATGTTAATAAACTCTACGTGTGAGTCAGGATGAATGTGTTATTTCGCGTGAGAAGATGTGACTATTTTTAAACATTAACCCATAATGAGTGATGTCCGCTTTTTAACCTTTTTTTTTTTTTTTATAGATTTAAAGGAAATGTACGTTACTGGATGTTCAGTAAAATCATCAAGCTATTATTAACATCATATGATTAACATCCGAGATGTGGCATTGTGGTCCAGTCCTACATTTCTTTTAGTTATAGAAGTCAATGGCCCCTATTCTTCGCCGAGCTTAAGTATGATTTTTTCCCTTTAAATCGGGTTTAATGCAGGAGGTTGGTCTGAGTTTAAAGTTTTCATTTGTTAAATGTGATCGTTTAGACCAAGGGTCGAGCTGAACTGAATCAGCAGAGTACGGATCAATGTGTCCCTGTTCGATGAGAGATGAGCAAATGTGTGATATTCTTTTTAAAATAAATTTATAACGAAATGATCAATCCAAAATGTGAAGGGAAATAACATTATATTGCTGGAGACCATGTTTTTTAATTCATCAAAAATAAGTAGTCAAGGTGATATTCGTCAATTTAGGGTTACTCATACCCCGGTAAGGGTAAGAATAGTTTGTGTGTGTGTGCGTGCGTGCGTGTGTGTATGTGTGCGTGCATGTATGTATGTACATATATATCTATATAGATTTTATGCCTACTTATTTGCAAAAATAGATATTATGGAAAAAACAGTGCTAATGACTATAGTTCAGACAAGTTGTTATTGCTGATTGGTTAATATAGTACTAGTATATGAAAGTCTTACTCGATTATTTTCAGTCGGTATAACATTTCTAAATGCATATGATATTAACCCAACGTACATGTATATGTTTATATATTATTAGCTTCACCCACAGGTGGGGTCGCCATAACAAAACAGCGACATATATGCAGTGCAAAAATTCATACCTTCCATCATTCCTTAATATCACAATGAGGGAAGGGGAGGTAAGAATTGCATGTGTCGACTGTATGACAGTCTAGTATCACTGAATCATTTCGGGTAAAAACTAAGTCTAAAGTGTGACCCTGGTTATGTTTTGGACCTTGGAGATGTTGCATAAACCCAATTTTATACATGACTGACTTTGAATCATAAAGTATCTTTGTTTCATCACGTTTTTTGGACACAAAAAACAATAAACAAATAAGGACATTTATTATCAAGTAGAGGATTACCGACTCACACTGGGGATGATTATTTCATACCTGCATCATATGGCTCCGAATAGTCTCATTGGACAACGCCCCCTATCGTCAGAGTCCAGAAGCCTAACATGTTAGCCTACTGACTTTTACCCCCGAAATCGTTAAAAATTCATTTTTTGT